AGTGCTGGGATTACAAACATGAGCTACCATGCCCGGCCAGAACAGGTCTTTAAAAAATATATTTAACTTTATGAAAAGTTTTATGAAAAATATACTATATTTGTCCACATTTTTCTCATCTCTTCTTGAACCAGTATAAATTGCTTTAAGACAGGGTTCTGGGGCTATGCCGATGTCAGTGGGAAGAGAAAACAGGGGTGACAAGATTGGCATCAACTGATGCTGTGAGGAACAGGCCAGCTCTTTAAGGAAGGTGCCTCTCAGCTGCTCCTGGCTTCTGCGCTCATAGTTCACACACACTGTGTTGTGTGCATGTCTAGGAAGATGCTTCCCAACCCTTTGCAGACCATGGCATACGCAGAAAATGACAACGTTGGAATGGCACACTGGCGTACCAGTGGGGCTCCTTGCGGTCAATGCTGACTGGCCTCATCCTTCAGCCGCCCCCGGGAAGAGAGATCAATACATTGGCACATCTGTGGGAAAGCTCCCATTAGAGAGTGTGGGGAAGACATGGGCCTTCATGACACATTTCAGGTTCTCTAAACTGGCAAAGGGGAAGAGTCTGGGCTTCCTTTGACCTTTTGTTCTCGAAGAGCCCAGCTGTGCACACCCCTCACCCCTGCACTATAGCTCCCATTTGGGTAGTGAAAAATCCCAGGACTCAGGGGAGTTATGCAGCATTAGGGAATGGAGACCTGGAAAGCCATACGCTCCTCCTTGCTTTCCCGTGAGCCTCCTCTCTTCTTGCTGTCCCCTTTACAACCAACAGTCCCTGCAGGGGGAAGGCGCTCTGCTTTAGTCAGTTCCACCTCCCTTCCAGAGCTCATCCTCCTTCCAGCCTAATTTTCCTCACACTCTCATGCTTCTTCCCACTGCTCACCCCCCACCGCCGGCTCTCCTCCAGCACATCACACATTGCGCCCAGGCACGCTGAGCTTGTCTGCCATCTGTGAACAGACCCATGTCGCCCAAGCCCTTCTCTTTCCCTGTCATGCCATAGCCTCTTCCAGGAGTGCTCAGCCTGCTGTTTCCGCTCAGACCTCCCCTCTCAGCAAAGCCTCCTTCTGCGTGCTGCCCGAGAGCCATCCCTACTTGGGTTTGTGTTACTGCTGTGTATGGCAGCATCTTCACAGTGCCTGATTTCCCATCTTGGCCCATCATAGGTGCTCAACAAGTGTTTCTCAAATGACCACCAGCCTGCAGAGGGACCCCGACACTAACTCCACCCCACCCCGACTCTTGGCAGTCACTCATTGTCCCCTTGATGGGAGCCCAGCCTCTCGGGGGACCTGTCTTGCGGCCATTCCACGCTCTGTCACCTCACTGCCAGGAGACTAGAGCCACACTGCCTGGATGAGACTCATCTTTACCAGCTCGCAGCTCTCCCGCTGCCTGCTCAGGGGTGGCCGCCAGCTGAGGGATTGAGCTGATTACAAGTGAATCAGCACCAGGCTGATAGTGGTGTGAAAAAGGGGAAGGGTGACTGTGTCTTAGCCTCAGTCCTGGCTCCCCTCCTTCTAGCCCTGACCTGCAGTAACAGCACATGGCCACCAGAGGCTCTACTGGGCGACTCATGCTCCGCGGAGAAGAGCTCAATGAGAGAGCATCTGACCCAGCTCCCAGCAGATGAGAAAGGAAGGAGTAGAGAGTAGAGACCTCCTCTACTCTCAGAGGTCTCTAGAGCTGAAGCCCCGCAGCCCCACCCGGCTGCCTTATCCTTGTGTTTTGCCCCTCATGGGTCTAGAAGCTGTTTTCTCACACCTTAACATCTTCCTCCTTGCTTGCCATGAGCTCCTCTGCTTGCCGCCCCCTTTACAGAACAACAGTCATGGTAGAGGGAAGGTGTCTCCACTTTTGTCAGTTCTGCCTCCTTTAGGAGAGTGTCAGGCCTAACCCATGTGTGCTCTGTCTTTCAGGGCATGGAAAAGCCAATTGTTCTGTTTCATCTTTTCAACACCTCTTGACCCTCTCCCCCGGTCTCCTAACAGCCAGCTAGGTTCAGGGCCTCCCATCTCTGGCCAGGATTAGTGCAATGGCTTTCTGAAGGGTCCCAGGCTCCAGGAAGCCCCTTGCCCATCAAGTCTCCACCCTGGAGCCAGACAGCCCTCACTGCCATCAGACATCAGCCTCCAGTGGCTCCTAAAGGCTGGACATCCACACAGCACCCCACGGCCCCAAGATCTGGCTACTTGATTTTCCTGCCCTGTGTCCCTCCTCTCCCCTGGTCCTCTACCCAACAATCACCCCAATACATTGTGATGTTTCAAGTCTTTGTACTTTGCACACATTTTCCTCCGTGGCCTAATTCCCTCTCTCCACCCCTCACTCCACACCTCCTCTACCTTTACCCTTGCTCCCCATTCTTTCTTCACCTGGCACACAGCCCTACTTATCCTTCAAAACTGCCACTTCCTCTGTGAAGCCTTTCCTGACTCGTGTCCCAAAATCCCTCCTCTGAACAAATCCTGTTCCCTAAACATGCATCTGTCATTGTATCCGTCACTCAGAGTTGCAATAATTACTCACACATATGCCTGTCCTGTGTCCTCCACCGGCTCTGTACCTCCATGTGGGACCCGTGGCCAGCACACGTCGGTGGTGCCCAAAAGCTGTTGCACTGGAGTTGTTCCCTCTGCCCCATCACCTCCCACCTTGAGCAAGTCCTTTAGACAACCTGATCTGCAAAATGGAGAGATGTGAGAATCAGAAGAGAACACGTAATTCAAGGGTGTTATAAACTGCTAAGGGCTGTACAAATGTTTGTATTGCATTTTTGTCTTCCAGACCAGTGTTTACCTACAGTTGCCTGTGTGGAAATCAGAAGATTAAAGGAATGCGATGTGATCTTTTTGTAATTTCCCCACTTGGGTCAAGGGAAAAGCTGGTCGAGAGTAAACCATTAATTCATCTCCCTGCAGGCCCCCCAATCTTCTCTAGAGTTCTGGGTTAATGATTCTGAGGTTGTTTTCCTCACAGAGCCAATTCATGTCTAATCTTTGGCATGTTCTCCCCTTTGTTAAGAATAACTTGACTCACTCCACTAATTCCTCATCTTGGGGTCAGGAGCCTTGTTTTGCAGAAGGAAATGGTGGCTGCGTGTAAGTCTTGGGCCTTCTTTCTTTTTCAACCCCCTTTCTTTCATAGATTCATGCCTACAATTCCCTCTATGGACAGAAGAGACCTCTCCTTACCTTCATAATGAAGTGTGTGACTTTTCTCAAAAGTAGCTTTAGGAATTAACTATGGAGGTCCAAGTAGCAAGGATGCTGTGACCTAACTGGTAACCACCTCATGTGTGGTTTAATTGCTTTTGGAATCCCAGCAGAAGAAATTTTCTGAAGATCTGGTATGGAGAAACCATTCTGGGCCTGGCTTTTAAGTGTTTTATTAGCAGCTGGGTGAGGACTGGGCTGCAAAGAGATACAGCCCCCATCAGAAGCGGTCCCTTGTGGGGAGCAAAGCCTGGAATTCCAGGAGGGAGGTCTGTTTCTAGCTGAGGCAGAGGCTGGGGAGCGAAGCCTGGGAGCCAGACATGGCTTAAGGGTGGTCTGGACACTCTTGAGATAAGGCCAACTAAGGACTCTGAGCTCACTGAAGTTCCAAAGCCAACTCACAGCAGCTCACCACCAGGCATCTCCCCTGCCCCCACATTCCCTCCTCTCAATCCAGGAATTTTGGTGCTCATCTCTATAAAGTTTAGACCATGGTGGTAGGAACTTGGTAAGTCTCAGGTTCTTGTGTTGCCCGATTCTCCTTGGATTTGCTGGTTTTGCTTCCTTCCCATGTCTCAGGCAGGTCTTTGCATAAAGAAGTGGGCTGGTAGATCTGCAAAGGTCCCTGTGTGACAGGAGCAAGTTACCCTCTTGAGCCTCAGTGTCCTCTTCTGTAAAATAGGGATATCATTCTTTCTTTCCCAAGGCTTTTTGTAATAATGTCATTCACATCTGAATCTTAACCAAATGGGCCTTTCAGACTTAGATCACGTTTGTGCCTGCGTAAAAATGAAAGCATTAAGGAGAAGGAATTGGCGAATATATGTCTGGAGCAATAACTTCATCAGAACTGCCACGGTGATTGTAGGACCATTCTGATTCCAGAGGTATTAACATGCAAAACTCAATATTGAAATGCAAAACCCAACAAAATAATAAACATCCTTGTACCTACCTCCTTGCTTAAGATCTAAAACAATTCCCAATGCCACTGAAAGACTGTGTTCACCTCCCTGATCCAATCTCTTGCCTTCCCACCCCAGAGAAAGCCACTGTCCTGAATTTTTTCCCACTCCCTTTGTTTTGTTTTACCAAACACGTATCACATTGTAACATATTATTTGTATTTGATCTTGTTTTTGAACTGTCCTATAGGTAGAATTTTATCTTATTCTGCAATTTGCTTTTTAAAGTTTTTGAAAGAGCAAAACGTATCTATGCATATAATATATGTAGCTGTCATTTTTTGTCACTGCATATACCCCTCTCAATTCTGTTGTCAGAAATTTAGGCACTTTCCAGTATTATTTTGCTATAAACATTCTCATGACTGTCTCCTGGAACATATGTGTTTCTTGGGAGTATAATTAGGAGTGGAATTGCTAAGTCTAGACAATGTTCCTCCCTGCTCTGGTTGCCAACACATGCTGCTGCTCCCTTACTCCCTCCGCTGAATAGTGCAAGGGGGTGAGAGTTCTGTTCTTGCTTTGTCTTTGTATCTTCCAGGGCTCGGGGGACAAGTTTATAAAAAGGATGGGGAGATGGTGGAGGTAGAGCTTCCAAGCTCCCAACCAGACTTTCAGCCATAGTCCTGGCGAACCAAAGCGAGGAAGAGGTTGAGGAAGGCTGGAGCACTCATCTAGGCTCTGCTGAGCATGGGTGTGAGGTGGGGCTCCCCTTGACTGGATCCTGGGGTCTCAGGCTGCAGCACAGTTGACATCACAGAATCCACTGTGAGGTCACTGCTGGGCTGTGGGACACAAAAATTCAGCCAGCAAGCCACTCTCAGATGTATGGTTCTTTATTTAAATGGCAGTAAAGAATGCTGGAATAGGCTCTCCAGGGACACTTCTATGAGCTCTGGGCTCCTTTACAGCTTCCATCTCTGGGTCTTATTTAATGGGTTTCAAAAGTCATTGTCTCCATGATGTCCGGTGTCATAGAACCAACCATCTCCAGCCCCTGGCCACCTTCTGCTGTCTCGGCATTGGCCACGTTGGTGCTCCTCTCCACCGTCTTAGCCATGATGTCCACATCTCTGCCATGTGGTGTGCCCACTGCTTTTGTAGTAAGGTTGGCTCTGACGTTCCTCAGGAAAGAGCTGATCCTGCCAAGTCTCTTGCTGGATCCGGAGCTGGTGGTCGATAAACTCCTCCCAGATTTGTGAGAGGTCCTGGACTCCTTTGAGATGGGCGTGTGGCTGACACCTTTATGCGATTCCCCGTGCCTGCTGCTCCCTGGGCTGCTACAGCCTTTCTCCTTTTTGTCATCTCTACTGGCTCTGTGGCTGAATGAGGACCTGCTGGAAGACTTTCGGGCAATCTTGTCCCCCCTTGTTTTGTGGCGGCTTTCACCTGTCCTGCGGCGACGGGAACTCCTTCCAAGAGCCTTGTCCTTTTCCCTTCTTTCCCTCCCCTCCTTGCAAGCTTCAGCACTGGCCTGGGTTCGCTCCCTTCCATGCTGTCCACTCAGGCTGCTCTTGCTCTGCCGGGTGGAGACAGGAAGTCCCGCTGCTGCATCCATGTCTGTTTCTGCAGCAGTCCTGCTGGTCAGTTCTACTCCTGCAATGGCCAGGCTCATGCTGCCCTCTCGGGAAAGGCTCATGGACGTGCTGGAAACATGCTCTGAGGACTTGCCTGCAGCCCCTGCCACGGCCACCTTTGTGCTGTTTGGAGCCATGCTGGCAGTGCCTGCAATGGCCATGTTGCTTTTGCTTCCTCCTGCACCTATGGTGGCCACCCCAGCTATGGCTACGCTCACTTGTCCAGGGGCAGAATTGGCTGCTGCCACACTCAAGGCACCTGCTACGGTGCCTGTTGCTGCCCCTGCAGCTGCCCCTGCTGCTGCTGCCTCTTTAGTCACCCCTGTTGCTGGCTCCTCAGCAAGCTCCGTAGATGTTTTGGGGATGGATACATTGAGCACATTAGTGGGTTTGTGAAAGTCATGTTGGAGTCCCTCCCCTCCAGCATAAGCAGCAGAGGTGGCCCCACATACCTCAGAGACCATGTGGAGGCTCCGGATGCTGACCTGGTCCTGATCCCCCTTTCCTTGAAGATCCACGGCTTCTAGGCTCCTCCTGTCTTCCTGAAACACAGGCATCCACATCATGTCTTCAGCTGGAATGCCACAGGTACTGCTGTTACTCTCCATAGGTGGCCGCAAGAGGTAAATTAGTTTTTCCCAATAAGCAAAGAGGTCATCCCGTGTATTGAGAGCAGGACACAACTGCAGATAGCAAGATCTGCCAGTGGCAAACTTCAGGCGCAGCTGTTGTTTCTCATGGTTGTGAACAGAGATCCGTACAAACTTCAGGGGGAGGAGCCTGGTGAGCTCTAAGTTCTTGGCTGCCTTGCGTTTTTTTCTCTTGGTGGCCTGGCCGTGTCCAGCATACTCTTCGTAGCCGGTGGCTGGTCGTGCCAGCAGCATGACATCTGGGAGTGGGAGGATGGGGCTGGTTCGTGCAATGCCCATGGTCACCATACGGACACGGTTGTGCACATCAATCACTTCTCCCCTTTTGGTGATCTGGATAAAGTCGCTCTCAAATATCGGTGCATATTTGAATATATCATACTCCCCCTTGTACAGTTGTCGCTGCAGTCTCCCCATGGTGGTGTTGAACATGCTCATGCTGGAGCCACTCTGGGCCGTATAATACGGCAGCAGAGAATCACCATTCATGGCTGTCTTTCAGCACGATGGCAGGGCTGGTGAGGCAGGTCTCTGGGTCTTCCTTGGCCTCGGTGGCAGATGAGGGACCAGTGGTGCTCCTGGGTCACAAAGATGGCTCTGCAGCTTGTTTCTCAATCCCACCCCACCCCACAGGCCCCTGCTGTTGCCTGAGAGCCTCCCAGAGGCCGGGGTGGGGGTGGGAGTACAGATGATTGCTATGGGGGTTCTGTGGGGTGCCTGAACTGCAGACTCTTCCAAGATGTAGAGATGCAGGGTGGGCTCCAGAGAGGTTTTCTTCTGGCTCTAACCCCCTGACCTCCACCTCTGATTTTTTTAACTACAGTTTGTAGTCTCTCTCCCTGAGAGTCTACAAACTGTAGTCCTAGTGACAGTAAGTGATCACCCTCTCTGCCTAAACCCCCTTTGCGGCCATATTTATCTTCTGCTTCCCTTTGTGACCTGTTGCTGTCACATAGCCCTTTGTTGTCATCCCCCAGGCCAGGGCCATGATCCCCTCACTAATACTCCTTTGCCCCCATAGAGGACAGCCCCACCCTACCAGGTACTCAAGTGGGTGCCAAAATAAAATTTTTTCAAATGAGAAAATGTTGTGTGGTTGCTTCCCTTTCCTCACTCCCAATTCAAAAGATTCAGTAACTAGACAGGGTCTATAGGAATGCAAGATAATGGGATAAATTTGAACCATCTGAGTACATGGTTTAAAATTTTTTCTAACCTAGAATTGGCAGTCTTGGTTCTTAGCCCACTCTTCCATAAAGATCTCAGTTCATGCTGACAACGGAAAACTTTAGTAATAACCTCAACCTTTAATAATAACATGAGAGATTGCTTCTCCTAGGTGCCATACTATGTATCAAACTCCATTCCAGTTTGATACTAGTGCAACTCTTCTCATCTTACAGGTAAAAACACTGAAGTTGTGTAACTTACCTACATTCGTAGAACTTGTAGGCAGTGGAGGCATTATTTGAATACAAGTGTTGCTGCTTTTAATGTCTTCCTTCTGAACCACTACAGAACTTACAAAAAAAGCTTGGGCAAGCCAAATAAGTTGCATAATTAATTCTCTGTGTGTGTGTGTGTGTGTGCATGTTATGGAGAATCCAGGACAACCACTTCAGGAAGGGGCTGCGCTGAGTTGGGGATTAAATTATCCGGGGGGCCACCTCTATTCCTCCCCTCCATCATGTTTATACCAACATCCTGTGTCAGGGAGCCCAGATATTTTCTCAAGGCCCCCAGTGTTTGCCCCATGCCTCTTCTTACCCCCTACCCTGTGAAATGCCAGGAGAAGAGGGTAGGATGGAAATTGTGAGCTTACATTCCGGGAGCTTACCAAAGGCCCTCCTCTACTCACCTCTCTACCATGCAGAAGTAGTTTGGAAGCCATTTACACCCATGGGGAACAGGTGCCACTATACCTCCTGCCTTGCCGTGCCCACAGAGCTAGCCCAGGAATAAGTTATTTCCAAGCTGTTCCCTGGAAGTTCTGAGAAGGAGCCCCTGCTTCCAACTGTCTTTTCTCCCAGCTTGATAGGCCCGAAATCCTACCTTAGAGATTTAGTCCTTGAAGATAAAGGCTAGCTCTTTCTTAACATACACACACCTGTCTATCGACTGATGGATAAACGAAATGTAGAGTATCCATATAACAGAATACCATTCAGCCATAAAGAGAAATAAGGCACTATTACATAATACACTAGGCTGACACTTGAAAACATTATGCTAAGTGAAAGAAGCCAGCCATATTGTTTGAAAGGCCACATATTGTATGATTCTATTTACATAAAATATCCAGCACAGGCAAGTCCATAGAAACAGAAGATAGATTAGTGGTTGCCAGAGGCTGGAAGGAAGGGGAATGAAGAGTGACTCCTTAATGGGTACAGGATTTCCTTTGGGGACAATGAAAAAGTTCTGAAACTAGATAGTAGTGGTTACACAGCATTGTGAATGTACTTAATGTCACTGAATTGTACACTTCAAAATAGTTACAATGGCAATTTTTTTGTATATTTTACCCCCTACACACACACTCACAAATGTATATACTCTTGTTTGAAACCATTGCGGTTGAAAAAAAGCATAGGCTTCAGCTTTGGAAAGATCCACTGTGAGACCTCGAGCAAGTTACTGATCTCTCCACTCCCTTATCTGTAAAATGGGGATAGCAGTTGTTGTGAGGATTAAATGAGATAATACATGTGAAGTGTTTAGTGTATTGTCCTACTCAATAAATGTTAGCTTCTGTTAGCATTAGTCCTCAACAGTCCTTTTAAGTGTAAATTCCTTCCTGAAAGCAGTGTTTGATGAGACCATGTTAAAATCTTCTGGAGTGAGAGCCACCATAAGAACACAGGATGCTCAGTGGGCAAATGTGGCCTCATTTCAGGCAGATTCTAATTGGAAACACTGTTCACTCCACAAAGAAACAGTACATGAACCCAACCAGAGGTTATGGGACAGGGAAGAGAGGAGAAAGCTTGACATGGGTTGGCGTGTTGAAGGTTTATTCAAAGCCCCTGGGGAGAAATTAGGATACGGATGGAAAATAGTATTTCAGTTAACAGAAAGTGGAAAGATTCCATTCCAGAACTCCTGCCCTGGGCCAGAACCCTTTAAAAGCTCTTGACTCTGAAAGAGGTATCAGGCCAGCTCTCAGGGAAAGCCAGGGGGGCAGGTGGAAGGCAAGAGAGGGAAGGGAGGGTGGCTTTCCACACCCTGGCAGTGTGACATCACCACTACCAACAGGAGACAGCTCGGTGCAAAGACACTGTCAAACCGGGTGCTTGACAATGGTGGTGGCCCCATCTAAGCTTATTCTCTCAGATCCCCCCACCTTCCCTTTCCTCTAAATGTGAAACAAAAGAAACGAAATAACTTGATGGTAAATGCATAGTCATCATCCTTTTTAAAATTAAAGTATCAAAACATAACCTTGGCTACATAAAACAATTTTTAATGCATTTGTGACAGAACTTCATTTACACTTACCATACACATCAAGTTTTCTTGCCACAGCCACCATCCACCCCCAGCTTCCTTCCTCTCTAATCCATTGTTGTCCATGGCAGCTTACAAATTGTCTTGTGTTTTATAATGGCTGGTGGCTGGTGCCTCTACCCATAACTAGAAGGTAAATGCAAGGGACGTTTTCCCCTCCACCAAGAAAAGGAACATAGATTATCTCCTGAAAGAAGTGGTGAATGGTATTAACATCAGATGGCTCTTGACAGACTAGGAAAGACCCCTGATGTGCGATTAAGAGAGTAAAATGAAGACACCTGTGTCATAAGTGATCATTTAAAGGAACCATACATGAGGTCAAAGAAGTAGGCACAGAATTCGCACGAATGAATCTGACATTTAATGAAGACAGTGACTCTGAAGAATGGCACCAGTGGCAAGTGGCCAGTTTTTATGTCTAGCCTGTGAACGTTATAGAGAAGCACAAAAAGCAAGGGGGCCTGGCTCTCTTGCAGGCCTAAGGAATCATATGCCCTGGAAATTCCAGGAAATTCAGTGGAATACCTTTCTTTGAATTATCACACCCATGCTGTCTAAAACGGTTCTCTCTTTCTTCCTCCAGTACCCCTTCCCATTCTTTTCTGATATGTATTTGCCAACAATGAGACACACATTTAGACATAACAGATGTAACTCAAGTGAGTAACTCTCTGAGAGGAGTTCTGTGGCAGAATGTTAGGGGTCAAAGGTTCAAGCTGAACAGTAGGTGTATGTTTCCGGTGTTTGTACATTCTGAGAAAATAATTAAGGTATCTAGCAATTCAGATTTTATATCAAAATTCTAAACACCAAACTGTTGATCTAAAGGATATGTTTGGTGCCGTGTTTCAGGGTTTGTCAATGAGAAATTGAGCATAAGGTGCCCGAGACTGAGGAACAGGACTGAAAGTCAACTATCCCATCTAGTGATGCCCCAAAGAGCAAAGGATGACATCTGGAGAAGTTTAAAGCTAGGCAACCCCCATAATGGGGAGGGAAAGGCAGGGAATGGCTAGATCTCAACAACCAACAGATTTAAATGAACAGAAACCAACACAACACGTGTTTACCATGTCTTGGTTCCAATATTTATTATTCTGTCAGGTTAGGAATACTAGGATAAATAAGTAATATTTTCTCTTACAGAAAATTGTAATGATACTATTGAGTACAATTAAACACTCTGAGAATTTCACAGAAACATCAGAATTTTAACAGACAGTAGCCAGCATCCTTGTGGCCAGTGTGAGTGACTTCTCACAGCTGCAAACGCCCTGGGCCAGATTTCTTAAAACAGCTACATGACAAAAACAATACTATCGACATCCAATAATGCTGAAGCCTGGGCACAACCTAGGCTCCACTGACTGGGGTTTCCAAATATGTCTCCACTGACTGTGGTTTTTAACCACAAGGAAAGGAAAATGGAATATTCTTTGGCTTTTCCAGCCTAGACACAACTCCTGACCTAAGTCATTGAGTGGAGAGTCCTAACCCTTTGGAAGTTGAACTTTCTGCTTTCTTCCTGTGACTTTGGAACTGAGTTTGCAACAGAGGACCTGCCATCATGCTGTCCATGGATTTTGTGTTAACACTGGGAGAATTCTGTTCTCCAGGGGCTGACAAGCTCTTCTGGCCACCTGAATATCTTGAGATACTGCACGTGGTGACAGCCCCGCACCCCCCCAAAACTCTTAGAAACCAGATCTGAGAAAAAGCATATAAAAGTCACATCAGTGTTGTGTGACACAAACATCAAAAGAGCACATTGCCTAGTTTTCTCGCACACAGAATTTCTGGACATAACAGCATATTTGCTAGAAAGCACAACCCTGGCCATTGCACAACTTCACTAAATGCTGTTCTCACTCCACATCCCCTACGAGTGACAATGGTAGCCACGGTGAAGGAGATGGCCCCATCCCTCCCACCCAAGGTACAGACACTTCTGCATGAATCCTAAGGGTGGGCATCCTGGTTTTTGTAGAATCCAGATGAAAGGCAGGCAGGACGCTAGCTGGGGGCCATCTGGAACATAAGAATGGCCAGTGTGGTAAGGCCTAAATCCTGGAGTTGAGGCAAGGATGCACTTGCCCTGGTCCGAGACCCACTCTGGGGCAGAATGGGAAGGGCCCACTGAGTCATTTCAGGACCTCCCGCCTTGTTGGTTCTCTGCTGCTGGGATCTTAGAGGTACATAGGAAGACAGCTCTTCAATGGCTTCAGGGTTTTGGGTATAAAATGAGGATTCAGTGAGGACTCCCCAACTGCCCCCATACCACGGCTGCTTAGCTCTGCAATGTTCCTTCTTTTATCTGTTGGATAAAGAGGTTTCTCTCATCTTCTGGAGTCCTCCCATTCTGAGCCCGGACAATACACGTGGGCCGATGAAGGTTGAGCATGTATATCAAATGCTGCTTCTCATTCTTGAGTTCCTCAATCTGAGCCTTCAGTTCAGCATTCACACTTTCCAGCTTCTCTGACTCCTGGGGGACAAGCAACAGAGGCATCAAGGGCCAGTGAGGAGGGAGTGGCCTGGACTGCTGCCTGGATGCAGGGGTGCACCTGGGACACCCTGGGGCCCATCAAGCTGGGAGAGGAAGATGGGAGATGGGAGAGCAGCACTAGGTTTAGGAAAATGCAGACCCTCTTCTTCAGAGAAGCCCTGGTGATGCCACAGAGGCGGCCTGTGACTCTACTAATACTGAAGCTGCAGAGGAACCAATAGCTCAGATACCTCATTTGCATGAGTCAACAGCCCATATGCAGGTCTTCTGGAACCCAAAAGGGCCTTGGGAGCTGGGGAGAAATCCAGACTCAGGGAGGCTTAGTCGATTCTGAGTCACAGATCTCAATGAGAAGCTCATCTCCTCAGAAAAAATGTATATGGCAACACACGAAATTCCCTAATTTTCACTGATCCCCTGAAGCAATCAACATAACCCTTTGGGGATCTGTGGGACCTGGGTTAAGACTCTGCCCTGGCCTAACCACATTTGGAGGAGGGACACAACCACTGGAAAGACTGCTGGGCACCACCGCCCACCCTGCCTACCCACAAAAGCTCTATCTCTCTCAAGGCGGGCCGGCTGAACACAGCCAGGGGCTCAGCTTGCTGGCTAAGCCAGGGAGAAGGACTGTAGAGTTAGACAAGAATGCCAAGCAAATGTAACCACTGCTTGTGGATTAAGGAAATTACTTGTTTGAAGAGATTAATTAAAGGCTATTCATAGTGAGCCAAATGAGAGCTGGCAGCTTCCTTTTCTCAGGAAAACAGTCAAGTGAAGCCTCTTTAACTGGGTTGGCATGTCCTGCAGCCTGGAAGCTGATGGACATGTATGAACTGGCCGAGGCTGCTGGGAGTCAGGCATCAGACGAATTCACACACCTGCTTTTATATATCCACAGTCACATCCATTGTGTTTACTGCTTTGCCACCTCCTTATTCTGCAACTGGCATTTCTGCTACCAGCTACAAGGCCCTTCTTGGGAAATTATAACCAGGTAAGGGGTTTTCTAACTCTTCTTCTGACAGCCACATGAAGCTGGTGAGGATAGGCATGAGCGAGAGGAAGGGGAAGGCTAGAAGGCACTTACTTTCTGCAGGCACTCCGTCTTCTCCTTCTTCTTGTTTCGGCACTTGGCGGCTGCAATCTTATTTCTTTCTCGCCGCCTCTTTTTCCTTTCATCTTCTTCAGGGGCTACCTATAAAATCCAAAAGGGACACATTTAAAGGGTAGTAAGAAATGCCACCTATCTCAAATACACTGCCTTTTACTGCCAGCAAAAGCTGGCAGACAAGGTCCAGTGCTAGCGCTAAAGGACCCCAAAAAAATAAAGCTCTAGACTTTTGTGTGAAAACCCCTACACACACACACACACACACACACGTGAGTGAAGAATAAAAATCAAAGTTAAAATTATACCAGCAATATATTAGTAAAAGTTAGCCAATTTTGAAAATGCATTTGGATTTTGAGATGAGGATAATATGCAAATTGATAACTATTGGTACTAACTGTAATCATTTAAAGCTGAAACAGATTCTGTTTGGTAAACATCTCCTTTCTTTGGGAACCAGGAACGACCTCAGGATCATCACGTAGCCACCCTCTCCCGGCCTCTTCTTCGATTTAAGACCCAAGGGCAAACCCCATTCACCTCTGACTTCACCTGGAGCATCAGAGCACCAGCTTCCCAAATTTGGGAGAAGCCCATGATGCTCCTGCAGAGAAGGCACCTAAGCCCATTCCCAACCAAAGTGGCATTAATCGGCCCATGTTGGGGTGCCACCTGCAAGTGGTGAACTAGGACCATCTTTTAGGTCAGTCTCACTACTCCTTGCCCAAAGGCTGCAGTCATGCCAGTTTAGTAAGCGTGAAACACTTCCACTTGCCACCACGAGGAAAAGGCCAATAAAATGGTGGAACCTCAGTTCTGACATCCTTAAGCCACTATGACATCACCAGAAGCCGCCTCCCAGACTTCTCACCATGTTTATTATTCCAGGGGTCTTATGCAAGGTTGCCAAGTGTGGAACAGTGCAAGTGTGTAAGACAGAAGTGAACTTGGAGCAACACCTGGTCCCAAGGCTGTGAACACTGCTACAGGGAAGGGTGGGGCAGGCTGCCTGGTCCTTGCTCTACTGTCTGGGTGCTTGGGTCCTAGTAGTGATACAAATAGGGACCACCACACTCCATGCTTCTTCAGAACAACTGGACACAGAAGGTGGCCTCATCCTGACTCATGGCTTTTAAGTGCCATCTATATGCTGATAATTTCCAACTCTATTATCTCTAGACCAGACTCTCCTCTGAACTCCAGACTCACATATTCAACTGCCTGCTTGACATCTCCACAGGGGTGCAGAATAGGACAGATCTCCTGCTCTTGCCACCACCCTAACCCCTATAATCCCAAATCTCAGCAGCAAATGGACGCTCCATTCTTACAGCTGTGCTGGCCAGAAAACTCAGTCACCCTTGAGTCTTCCCCTTCTCTCATACCCCACATCCAATCTATCAGCAAATCAGCTTTACCTTCAAGTCAGATCCAAAGCCAACCACTTCTCCGCACCTGCACTGCTCCCTCCTGATGCAGCCCCCCGCCACACCCACTCACGTGGATTCCTGCCATGGTCTCCTTTCTGCGCACTCAGCTTCTGTCTTGCCCCTACTGCCCATTCTCAACATGACAGCCAGGGTGATCATTTAAAAATATAAATCAAGGCTGGGCATGGTGGCTCACGCCTGTAATCCCAGCACTTTGGGAGGCTGAGGCAGGTGGATCACCTGAGGTCAGGAGTTCAAGACCAACCTGGCCAACATGGAGAAACCCCGTCTCTACTAAAAAAATACAAAAAATAGCCAGACATGTGGCGGGCACCTGTAATCCCAGCTATTTGGGAGGCTGAGGCATGAGAATTGCTTAAACCTGGGAGGCAGAGGTTGCAGTGAGCCAAGATCATGCCACTGCACTCCAGCCTGGGTGCCAGAGCAAGACTCTATCTCAAAAAAAATGTACGTGTGTGTGTGTGTGTGTGTGTGTGTGTGTGTGTTGAATCTTGTTGCTGCTCAAAACCCTTCTGTGGTTTCCCACCTCACTCTGAGCACAGGGCCACATCTATACAACAATAGTCTGTAAGACTCAATATGACCAGCCCCTATTTATCTCCCACCCCCATACTCTGTCCCACTGCACAGCCCACCAGGCACCAATACTCCCACCTCAGTGCCCTGAATTTCTTTTACCAGATACCCACATGACTTCTTCCCTCTCCTCTTTCCTTCTTCCTTTCCTTTTGACCTCTGCTCAAAAGCCACTCTCAGTGAATCCTTCCCTGACTTCCTAATTTAAAACAGCAACCCCGGCTGGGTGCAATGGCTCATGCTTGTGATCCCAGTGTTTTGGGAGGCTGAAGCACGAGGATGGCTTGAGCCCAGGAGATTGAGGCTACAATGAGCTGTGATCACCCCACTGTACCCCAGCCTGGGTGATGGAGCAACACCGTCTCTAAAAGCAAAATGAGTCTTGTTCCATCACCCAGGCTGGACTACAGTGAGGTGATCATGGCTCATTGCAGCCTCAACCTCCTGGGCTCAAGCGGTCCTCCCACCTCAGCCTCTCAAGTGGATGAGACTACAGGCATGTACCACCTTGCCCAGCTAATATTTTTATAGAGATTGGGTCTCATTGTGTTGCCCAGGCTGGTCTCAAACTCCTGGACTCAAGCGATAATCCCACTTTGGCCTCCCAAAGTGCTGGGATTACAGGCGTGGGCCACCATGCCTGGCCTGAAAAGTTTTTAAACCCACCAACCCCACCCCTACCTGTTCTCTCTGCCTCACTCCCTGCTTTTTTCTCCTTTGCACTCATCTCTTAATGTATTTACATGTTATGTATCGTCTGTCTCCTCCCAGGAGAAGGTAAGCTCCCTGAGGGCAGGGGTTTCGTTTGTTTCACTCTCAACAACAGCCCCCTGCCTAGAACATGCCCAACACACAGTGGCTGTGAGCAAAACATGTGCTAAAAGAATGAACACCTGTGGTAGAACCCACCTCGGCTTTTGTGACAGACACCCCAAGGGGTCTGTCGCTGACCGTGACTGACTCCAGCGCAGAGGACATCCGGTGGCAGAGGTGCTTGTTCTGGATGGCAAACCTCAGCTCTTCCTTGACAAAGGGCGTCAGGTTGGCAAAATCCTCAAACACCAGTGACCCAGGAGGGGACAGGCAGGGGACGATGGCAGAAGCACTCACTTCCGAGGCAGAGACCTGGCCTGGGTGTTGAAGCATCATTTTGCTGAAAGACACATTGAAACCCAAACTGTTTCAGGGGCTCTGGGGCATGGGATCAAGTCCCTTTCCTCCACCAGACCTCCAACACCAGAACTCCACCCTCAGAGAAAAGTCCCATAAGCCATTGGGTTTCTGTTTTGTTTTCGTTTCATGCCATCCTCATCTTAAGTAAAACAGGTTCTTAAAATACACACAGCTCAGTGACATGAACAAAATGCTTATTTGAAGTTTATTAGGGATGATGTTTCAGGCTACTCTGAATTCACAAGAGCTATGAGTTTTGGCTGGTGTGCCTATGTGCAAATGTGGCCTCAAACAGTCCTGAAAGAGGAAGAACATTTTTTAAAAATCAGTGAGGCCATTTTAAAAATCATGAGTAACCTCATTTTCAGCCTCTTTTGCAAAGAGGCTTGACATCAAGTTGAAACTATCAGTGAGTGGAAGTAAAAGCAAAAAGTGGGGAATCCTTGAATTTAGCAAATACATCTCTGAAGCTTCTCTCCCGGAAGTTGGGCCCAAGCAGTGGGAATGAGAAAGGTAACTGTAGCCAGGTGCGTTTCTTCACCCCAGACTTTGGCAGGGGATGGGGAGTTGGATTCTTAAGGTTAAGGTTGGCAAAGCAAAAGGCCTTAAAGAAAAGTGAGGTGCCGTATTGTGTGGGAGTTGTTCAGACCTGTGGTATAGGGAGAGACTTAGGCTGGGTGTGGGGACAGAGAACCCGGGGGCTGGCTCTGGCACTAAAGAGCAGTGACTTGAGCCAGTCACTTCAGCTCTCTAGGACCCAGTCTGTGTCTGGTAAATGACTGAGAGCTCCTCCAATGCCAGCACTGAGTCTACACCATTGCTTTACCCAGAGCCTGGCCCAGCACCTGACTCGCCATGCCTCACTGGCCAACTGAATAAATGAAGTGGGGATGGGGCCATCAAATCAAATGCCCCCCATAGTCCAAGATTACCTTTCTCATTCCCATTGCTTGGGCCCAACTTCCGGGGGAGAAGCTTCAGCGATGTAGTTGCTAAATTCATCTCCCTCTATTATTCTATAGCTCAGTGAACCCAAAAGGATGACAAAAGGAAAAAAAAGAGTAGAAATATTGACAGTTACACGGACCCAATTTGGAAGAGTCCCCCATAAGTCTTGGCCTGCTGTGTACTCCCTCCTGCAGTGGCCATTCCCCCTCCTCCCTGCAGTTGGTTTCCAAGGGGCAATGAGTATAGGGATGAGTGTAGGATGAGTGTGGTCTGGGCATTCCTCTCACCAGGGATCTGTGGTCATTAGCACAGTCCAGACAGCGAAGAAGCCCTCTGGCAAGTCTCAAACATTTAAGGAGTGCCTCCTTCATACCAGAAACCTTAGGGGCACTATCTCGTTTAATCCTCATGAGAACCCAGTGAGTTAGGATTTAGCCCCCTTTTATAGATGAGATAACTGAGGTTTAGACAAACTAAGTCATTTGTCCAAAGTCACAGAATTAATATGGGGCAGCATCAGGATTTGGAATTAAGTTAGTTTGGCTCCAGGATTCATGCCCTTAATTTGTACATTGCAAAAAATGAACAAATATTATTACACATTACAAAAACAAACCAGCATTATGTTATATTGCACAAACAAAACAAAAAACCAGAGCAAATTTTTGGGGGACAGGCCTTAAGGTAGGTGGGAGGCCTGGAAATGAAGTGATGGAGGCGAGGCTAAGTAGAGATTCCTGGGGATAACTTGAACTCTGTTTAATGAACTGCTAATCTTTATGTCAGGGTGCACACCCAGGCTGCTTGCTACCTGCCCTCTGGGAGTGTGAGCAAGTAGGTCTCTTATCCACAAAATTCTCATACTGGGGTCAGAAGATGAAAATCTGAAGCCCACTTACTCCATCATGTGTTATCATTGTACCTCCCAGTGGCTTTTTCTCCTCTGTTGAAGAGGGCTTGTAACAATCACCCTATTTTCCCATAATATCCTATGAGGAATTGAGGAACTAATACATGAATATGCCCTGGAAAACATTCCTTTGGCCAGGAGCTCCATGATTACTAGGCCTCCCAGAGATCTCTCCAGCCCAGGGCTGGCTCTCTGACAGAGGCTCTGTGGGGTCCAGGAGGGAGGGCGGCTGGTCACCCTCTTTGATCTCAAAGGCTTCTGAATAGAATACCCTGACTTCAACTCCCCCTAGAGATCTAACATACACCAATGGAGGCAAGACTTCCAGGCCAATGAAAGCTGCCCTTGACTAGTCAAAGAAACCCAGGCTATGTATGTAATTCTTTTCCCAAAGAATGAGTCAGAACTGAAGTTCTTCTCTCAGTTTAATCCTATAATCTTAGGATGCTGGGAGGATACTTGTCACTGTCAGGCAATAAACTCTGAGAAACTAGACTTCTAAAGCCAGAGGCTTAAGATTCTCCCATGCATTCATGTTTCCCTGCCCTTTCCAACTTTATTAAAAACCCAGTGATTCAGGGATGACATTCAGAGCTACCACTGGGCTAGTCTTTGTTCGGAGGCCTGGATGGCTCCCTTCTACATGGTACTTTGAATTTCACTGCAGTAGAGCGTAGTTCCATTTTGCCACCCAACTAGGTTTATTAATGAGATCTCAGGGCTTGGGGTCTGCTGTTTGTGACTCCCATCCCGACCCTTCTTCTTATGTAAAGTCAGCAGTCCCAATGAAAGAAGCTGAAGAATGTCAGTGGTATGGAATGCTTTTATGGAAAGCATTGGGTGGGCTTACTTGGGGACAGAAATGGTTGTAAAAATGTTAGAAGTCTTTCAGAAAGCAAAACAGATGTATCTGTAGATATCTGGGTTTTCTTGGCACTAGGCTAAAGCTTAACTTCTTGGGATACTTTCTAGTTATTCTTTTACTCAGTCTCTTGAGTTATGATTCAGCCTAGACTCAGGCTGTGTCCCCACAAGGAAATGAAGTTAAATCATCAGACAATTTTTCAGAAAGTTGAGATCCTCAAACATCCTGATCATTGAAAAAAATTGTTTGGGGACCTCAGATCAGAGTTTCTATGCTGATCATAAAATTGTTCAGACTTGCTACCAAGAACTTGCATTTTGTTTCTGCTTGATTATTTCCAATCAGAAATCATGTTGTATCATTGGTAGTTACATCATTTTCAAGAAAGTGAAACTACTCATGTATTCCTTTAACTGGAAATTCAGCTCCCAGATTTTTATTTCCTAGTAGCTACAGCTACATTGAATTTTCACTTTTAATTTTCATCCTCTTTCCACTAAGCATTGCTCGCTAACCCTCTTATGTTACTAGGAAGCCAATACTGGCCTTTCACTAACTCTTCATATCTTGGTCTTCCTCCCAGACCTCTTGAAGATTGTAGGTGCAAAGCTGGGCATCAAGGGCCAGAGACAATGTTTCTGAACCTATCAGCGCCAATCACAAACTAAGCACTCACCAACAAATCACTTAGGCTTTCTGGGCCTCTCATTCTCTTCCTCTGTAATTTGAGATCAAAACTGCCTGCCCCAAAGGGCTGTTAAGAAGGATATATGAGATTTACATATACACTGGGTAGTCATTATTACTGTGACTCCATCTTCTCCATTTCAGGAAAAACTCATTCTGTTGTTATCAATTCAACAAAGCCCTGTTAGTGAGGAATTAACTAAAACCTTCAAGAAATTCAGGTCATTCAGAGCCTCTTTTGTACTCTGATTGACCCCAAGTTCTTCGCAGACCAGGTAGATGTCACCCCACTATTTGCTGACACCAGCATTTCTCCATTACATATTTGAAAGAAAACCAATTCTCACTTATAAACCATTTCTCCCTTGGAAAGCTTCTGTGGCATCTTGACTATGTCCTTCCTCCTCCCCTGGCTGGGTAACACTTGAAGCCACTGGCCTTGTCCCATGCCCAGCCAATTTTAAAAAGAAAGGAATCATGGACTCTATCTAATGGAAATCACACCCTCTCAATATTAGAATCATCTAGGTCAGATTTTCATTTTGTAATGAGTACACTGGTCCAGGGAGGTAAAAATGACTTGCCTGAGGTCATAAAGCTGGTGAGTGGCCCATCCCATGCCAAGCTGCTGACCACCCACCAACTGCTCATTTTGCTCCATCACCAATAGGTATCACCACCTCAAGGGATCAACCAACAAGGCAACCAGAGAACAGAGCCATTAGCCAGGTAGATAAGGGGTCAAGAGTCCTGGCACTTGGTACCAACCACAGAGGAGACTTTGACAGGACTGAGATAGGGAGGGGCTATCGAAGAAAAGAGCCATGGAGAGAAAGGAATTCTATAATGGCTAAAGGGCAAGGAGGAAGAGAGAGAGAAAGAAGGCTCCCAGCACTGCCACAGATGCTGGGTGCTGTATCTTAGCCCCACTGCGGGCGTGGGGTGCTGCCTTCTTTGCTGTCTCTGAAACAATTCTGACAGTAACTGCAATCCTCACCACATCCCATCTTTGACCAGGATATCCTCAAAGCAGGAGCCTGTATGTTGTAGCATTATTCTACAACCAATGCTAACTGCAAAACAACGGGGACAGTAATACCAATTTTTTGCCTTCACTTTAAATTGTGGAGACAGAAACTTCGAACAGAAGATATGACTGTCACCTACAACGAAAGGGGTACATTGAGAGAACATCCAGATTTTCTGGCTCTCCTTTTTTTTTTTTTTTCTGGCTTCATCAAGGATTTAGTAACTATTTTATTTGTAAGAAAGCATATGTGACCTCTGCAATGAAATTAGGGAAAAGAAAATGTTTAGGAGGAAAGGAAGTAGATGAGAGACAAAAATGGGGATAGGAGGAGCACAGAAGGAGAAGGAATCCAGTGGAAAGAAAACTGGTGAGGGAAAAGATGCCCTGCAGAAAAGTCCCCTTTCCCCCACTGTCTGGACACCGGTCAATGACATTAGATAGAGACCCACAGCATTCAAGTCCCCTCACTGGCTCCTTTTCTTCCCACTACACCACCCTAGAATCTGAAAATCTCCAGACAGAAAGGACCTTAGCAGTTATCTGGTCCAACCACTGCATTGTGCCCTCCAACACGCAGAGGGGGCCGGTACTGCCCATGTGCCCCTATTTCCCGGCTCGGCATACTGAGGCTCAACGACATCGATTGCAGTGTAAGCGCTCAGAGTCCTGGCACTAGACCACAAAGCCATTCTCTCAAATATCTGCACAACTGGCTCCACACCCTCGCTTCCCCGCCACGGTGGGTCTCCCGCGGACTGGCCGAAGGAAAAGCCAGAGTGAGAGTCCCAGGTGTGTGGGAGTCCCGGGCTCGGGTTCCAGACACCAACCGGTGCCGGGAGCCCTTCCCGTCGTCCGCCCCGGGACAGCGCGACACCAGCGCTCTCCACTTCCAAACTTATCCCAGCTAACTTTTTCTCGGGGTTGCCTTCACGGTCCTGCCGCCAGCGCTCCGGGGTGCCCAGGGCGACCCCCAGCGGCCGCGCACGCGACGCCGCCCGCCCTCCTGCCCCTTCCCCATTCATTCCTCTCGGCGCGTGGGGCAGCCCTCCCGCAAGCCTCCCGCCTTCGTGCCTCTCTGCCAACCCCGGGAAGGATCGGCTCCCTCAGTGCCGTGTCTCGAAGCGAGGGATGCAGCGGGACGGCGAGCTGGGCAGCCTCGGACACCCCAGCGCACCCGCCCACCCACCTCACGCCCTCTCCCAGCCCCGCAAGCCAGCGCCGTCTGCGGAGAGAAGCGGCGCTCCAGGCTGGCGGCAGAGTGGACGCCAGACCTCCGTCACCAGGAACCTTTCGCGCCCCAAGTCAAAAGAGAAAGTTAGTTCTTTCGCTTTGCGGGAAACTTTTCAAAGCGCCGAGGAGCAGCGGTGGCTTAGAAGAAGTTAAAGCCAGAGTTATTTCCAAGCCGGAGACTGGGGGCGCGGATCTGGGGTGGGTCAGGGGTCGGCGGACTGGTTACTTAGAGGGGCGCGAAGGGAATGAAGGTAAGCCGCCCTCGTCGCGCTCACTCCCTTGGCTTCCAGCGCTCACCTCCAGGCTCCGCTCGGGGCGGCCAGGGTCCGGAGGACGGGCAGGGTCGGGACGGGGTCGGGCGGGCTGTTTGTCTGGCCGGCGGGCGAGCACCAAGGACTCACGGCCGGCGCGCGGGCTGAAGGGTGCGCTCGGGCGGCGGCGAGAGAAGAGAGCTGTGCAGTGCGCGCCTGGCTGCGTGCGACTGTGGCTTGGAGAGCGTTGCATCACCCCTTTTATAGCCCTCAGGCGGGCGGCGCGGTCGTTTACTCCGTGTTGCCAGTCCCAGGCTGACGTAATGCTATTAATAGCTTCCCGGGAGAACCGGCCGAACGGAGCGGAGGAAGGGGGGTGGGGGAGGGGCCAAGGCGGGGCGGAAGGCGGGTGGAGATGGGGGGGCACTGGTGATGCAAGTTCGGGGAGGAGCCAGCCGAGGCGCGTTCCCCCAGCCTCGCTTACTGAGACACACACCAGCCCGCCCTCTCTCTCCATATCAGGACCGGAGTCGCCTGGGATAGCCGCCAGATGTGCGTACTCGCTGCTGCGTGTTCCAGGCATGACCAATGGTGCCCAAGCCAGCGGCATGACTCCACCGCGCTGGCATCTCTCCCTCCGCTAGGTTGAGGAGCGGGGGGGCGGGGAAGGTGGGGAGGCGGGTCCCGGCCCCTGCCCAGACTAGGTGAGGCTGGGAAGCGGGCACGACCTTTCTCTAAAATGCGTGGTCATTTTCTGGAGCTTCAGGAAAATACCCCCTCCCCCACTGGCCTCCTACTTCCCTAGCAGGGACAGAATAGGGGCAGAAGCGTTAGTCTGTGATGTGGGGAAGGTGTCCAAAGTCACTCTTCGGTGTATCCACGCCATTACCCGCCGGGTGTGACCTCCGCGGCGGGGACCGCGAGAAGCCCGCCCGTTAACACAAAAGCGGAGGGCAGCCCTCTGCTGGCACCGTGCGCCGGAGCCCACGGCCCCGGACCCTCCACATAGACGCACACGCAGGACAGCTCCGGGCTCCGAGACTAGGGCGAGTGGTAGGACCGTATCGGTTCGATTTTTCTTCTTTTTTTTCAATCACAAAGCGTTTGAAATTGACAAGAACGTCTCAGTGAAACCAACAAGAGCGTGAAAAGATCGGAGTCCCGGAGGAATCAGAGGCAGCCCGGTGGGAGCGTAGGAGGGGGCGGAAGCCAGTGGCCAGGACTAGGGGGAAAGAGAAGGTGCTTTGGGGTCCGCGAACCTGCCCAGGCCTGGGGGTCGCCCCGCTCTCAGGCAATATTTAGGGAAAACCCATCTTCAGCTTTCACGGGTTCTTCTGCTCCCAGAGCCTACTGGACTGGGACCAGACGGCCCGGAATGGGGACGCACTGACCACAGGCGGAACCCGCAGCAGAAATCCCCTCTGCCCTCAAGCCAGGGTGGCGGGAAAGGCGGGGCCCCGTAGCCGAGATTCGAGCTGAGACCTCAGCAGAACTGGGTTTAAACCTTAAAAACGATTTCCTGATTCTTATTCCCCGACCACAACAGTTGAGAGTGGCAGAACCAGTAACCTTCTTGACTGCCTGTGGATGACTATTTGTGGACATAAGTGTGGCCCGGGACTTTCGCACCTGCCTGGGAGGGAGACTTGCACGGCCGCAGGGTGTGGGAGCACGGCAAAGGGCAGAAACACCTCCTTTCTACCTGCCTCTGGGAGAGAGGCGGCCGAAGGTCATAGTTTGGTAATTTGGGGTAGAAATTAGAGGTGTCTGGAGCCCGGGTCTCACTTGAAGTCCCCAGTTCCCCCCACCGGGGTTCCTCGCCGCCTAGCCCGACCTCACTCAGAGCACCCCTCTCCCCATGGGCCTGGGAACACGCGGAGGGCGGCCTCGGAAGTCTTTGCGCCCCGGCGGGCCCTGAAGCCCTGGGGTTCCACGCGGGATCCTCAGAGATCTGGCTCTGCACCTGACCCGATTTCCAGCGGCGTCGCGCGGGAAGTGCAGGGCGGGTGTTTTCGCTTTACTTTTCGCCCTGGTAACGGCTCTCCCGGCCCCACCCTCCGCTCCCACGCCCTCACCCCCGCGCGCCGCGCAGCACACCTCCACAACCCGCCCTCCCGCTGGAGTGCGCGCAGGTAAACCCCGGGCGTGTCGGAGCAACCCCGAGAACACCGGGCGGGATTAGATGGAGGAGTGTTTGTGCATTTGAATGAAGTTATTTGGTATCTCTACTTCGCTATTTTATCTACTTATAGATTGTCCTGGAATAAATAGCACCATTATAAAATGAAGCAAGGAGAGGAGGGAGAACACGTGAAGCTTTTTACTCTTTTTCTGCTGTGAAACAGAAATCTTTCACCAGTTTACAGCTTGAACTATGATTCCATTAATACACGCAAGCCAAATCTGTGGAGATCTGGTCCCGTCCTTAAGGGGAAATTCCAGTTAGGTCGTCAAGTAAATAAACAGCCAGACCGGCCTCCACAAAACGTCAGGGGCTCTGCCTTGGGAAGGAAAGGGTAACTGGGGTGGGGGGAGAAGCCCCTAACACCCTGGTCGGGTTATTTTTATTACCATTGTGCCTCCAGTTCCTTTTATTAATCTTGCTTCATTCTAATTACTCTTAGTTTGGAATCTCCAAGTTACACCTGGATAGAAATGCTGTCCGCTGTTCACAGAAGTCTGATCCTGACATTCTCAACCCTGAAAGTGATAAGAATCTTGACAGAGAACTAAGTCCACTCCCACTTGAATGAAACTCTTATCCAAGGAAAACAAAAGCTACTCCTGCCTGCCTCCCTCCCCTCAGCCCCCAGGAGAACCGTGAAATGCCTGCTGAATTGAGAGACTGGAAAAGAACAGAGCAAGGCAGAGCCCCTGAGGTCTTTGCCACAGGAGAGTGATCAACATCTGAGTCCTTTGCATCCTCATTTTACCCTGACTTAAGTTAATGCCACCAATGTCCAGTGTGCACACTCTCAGCACACACACAGCCAGTGCCATGCAGAGGAGCGCACAGAAAAACTTTCCACACCAAAACTCCTCTCGACGCAAACCAAAGAATGGCTGTCTTGCCTTAGAAGGAAGCCCTGGCTAGGGTGATTTCAGGGGTTAATCCTCAATGAAAGACGGTTAAGCAGAGACTTGAAGATTGCTGAGGTTTTATGCTGGTGAACGGCCTGGGGAATCCACATTCGGATCAGCCTTGGTATGTTTTGCTGAGTGAGATAAGAGTTGGAGACTTCATGCTGGGACATGTGCAAAAGGAAGGGAAAAAATAAAAAAGGGGAGGGGAAGGAACTAGGTAATTGAAAACAGCCCACTCGTGGCAACCAAATCTAAACAGAAAAACATTGCAGGGAGCCAACGCGAAAAAAAAAAAAAAAAAAAAAAAGTTCGAGATATTTAATGGTTCTAGCAGTTTCTTAGTTCAGTGCACAATCCCTTCCCACATTCCTCTGCCCCATTACTCTGTTCTGTAAACCCTAAGACTGTATTTGCACCCAGAATGCTAGAAACACAAGGTAAGATCCACCAGAGGAGCGGCAGAGTACTACCAGCCCTGTCTGCCTAGCTCAACCTACTTCTTCGCTTTGAAACGGGAGTGGAGTCGATTTTCTTATACTTTATTCTGTTTCTGAAGCCCACTCTTTCTACAAAGTCAGTCTGAATGTGGTGACTGCTAGTTTAATAGCGTCCAAAATGGGCATTGTCAGGAAACAGGTGCAGCATCACACAGTAGGCACCAAAGTGTGGAAGGCACTTGGATTCTGGATTCAGCACTTAGATGCTGTGTCACCTTAAGTAAGTCATTTCTTCAAATGAAAAATGGCACTAACAATAGTGCCTAATGCATAAAATTGTTATGACATTTCTCTGAGGATGTGGCACCCGGTCAGCCCTCAATAGTGGTATCATTAGTTAATTATGAATCAAGAAAAGCTTTCTGAGGTGCCCCTGAATCTCTCCAGGAACTCATTGAGTACCCCTTGTCAGTGGCAAATAGTGGATGAAGTCGAGCGATCTCCAGGAATGACAATCATAAGGGGGTGGGAATGAGAGCCCAGGCAGACACCGATGAGAACGGTCCTCATTCCCCATCACAGCAACTCCACCACACACCTGGGGCTCTCCTCAATGCTGGGTGGCCCTGCCAAGTATCCTGGGCTAGGAGGAGGGGATTTGGGTTCAGGGTCTGGTTCTGTCTTTGATATGCTTGAGCAAGGCACTCCCCCTTTCTAAGGCTCCCAACTTTTCTGAAGTGAGGAGCCTTGGACTGAGCTCTGATGGTCCTGAATGGGGACCCTCTGCCAAAGCCACCCTATGGGCCTCTGGCAACTTTCCCTAAGAGAGATGGGGAGAGAGAAGACATCATAGGTAAGGCACTGAATACCACAGGGGCAGACCCATTTATGCAACCTTTCTTCCCCTCCAAAAACTAGAGTTAAGAAATGCTGTCCAACTTAAACACAGCCTTTCTCCCACCTCCAATACTTCCAAGAGTTTTCATCCCCATGGACTAGGTGCCTTGTGAGAGAGGGGCGTGGCAGAACACTCCAGGCATGGATTACATCTCTGGGGACTTCTTACATGTAGCCCATCATCAACAACCATAGACATCTACCTTGGTCTACAGGGCCAAAACCCAGGTAGCAGATACTCCCATTTGAGAGATTAAATCCTGGAGACCCCAGAATCCAAAATGAAGTCCTGGAAGTCAGGGGATTAGCAGGACTCAGGAGACCTGGGATTCATTCACAGGTTTACCTCCAGTCAACTGAGTAAGTATACAGTGAGTATACAAGTCATAAACATGATGTCTCAGTTTCCCAGTCTATAAAACGGAACTACTTAGCATTGACTCCCCCTAGGTTGTTGTAAGAATCAAATGAGATAGTAGATGTGAAAGTGATTTGAAAATAAAAGATTTCTTTGGGGAAAGTTTTACTATAATTTTTTTGTCATTATGAAAATTTGGGAAACAGACAAGAAAAAAATATTACCCACAATCTCAACACTGTCAGCACTGTAGTGTGTTTCCCTCTAATCTTTTTTCTCATGTACATGATTGTAAAATATAGTTACGATTTTATATTGCATGCACCTTTGAAATTTGCTCTTTTTCTTGTTACCTCGAATGGTATATGGTCTTTCTTCTTAAAAATATGTCATTATAAAGTATACCATATATGCAAAAGATTACATAGAACACACACATATATACGTATACATTTTGATAATAAAACACATTGGGAACCCACCACTCAACAACTAGACCCCTTTGCCTCCCAGAGGTAACCACTATGCTGATTCTTATTACCATAACTTGCCAATGGATGTTGTATGATTTATTTAATCATTTCTCTACTTTTAGAATTTAGAGTGTTGCTAATATTTTGCTTGAATGCTATACACATTTAAATCTTTTTATAAGGGAAGGGGCATCAAATACCATCATTGCTCAGGATGCTTAAACGGGGTTAAAGAATGAGTCTTGATGCCTACCTTCAAATGCTACACAGGGCATATATATGGTGGAAGATGGAAGGACCCCCAAAGATTGTGACTACTTGTGCATTTTCCTCGTTTTCTAATATCCAAACAAAAAATCCTGCAGGCGCTTTTTCTTTCTTTTTTAATCCCTGCCCCTCTCTACTTCCCAACCTCCTTTATTTTCTCTTCATCTAGCTTGAAACAGAAAATGTAGTCTGCAGCATGGGCTAGTGGTACAGAATTAGTGCAGCCAGGCTCTGCTTCTCCCTGTGCCTGCAGGCAAAATTCTCACTGTAGCTCGGGCAGCTCTACCATCTCTATGCCAGTTTGGTGACATGAGTGGCTACCAGGTAGCTGGTCACCTCAGTCTGCACCTGAACAGGTGCAGATGTTTGGTGGTGATTCTCAGAACTAAAAGACACCATAGCAAAAAGGACCCTAGAAGTCATTCACTTCCATCTTTCTCAAACTGGACATGAGCACACACACAGGTGTACCAGGGCCATGAGATAAACAAAGGAGTTCTTACTTGAGTGTCTGCCTTAAGTAAAAAATCCTTAAAATGTTGTGTTATATTAAACATATATAGATCTAAGGAAAGAGAGAAGATATCAAATACATTCTGGGTTTGGCATCGGCTGCCAAAAGTTTTATTCCTGGGATCTTGAGAGGATTAGTTCCCTCCCTTCTTTTTTTTTTTTTTTGAGACGGAGTCTCGCTCTGTTGCCCAGGCTGGAGTGCAGTGGCCGGATCTCAGCTCACTGCAAGCTCCGCCTCCCGGGTTCACGCCATTCTCCTGCCTCAGCCTCCCGAGTAGCTGGGACTACAGGCGCCCGCCACATCGCCCGGCTAGTTTTTTGTATTTTTTAGTGGAGACGGGGTTTCACCGTGTTAGCCAAGATGGTCTCGATCTCCTGACCTCGTGATCCACCCGTCTCGGCCTCCCAAAGTGCGGGGATTACAGGCTTGAGCCACCGCGTCCGGCCCCCTCCCTTCTTTCTAAGTGTAAAATGCTGCTATGTAGCATTCTGGGTGTTCCAGGCTATGTACTAAGCCCTTCACATACAGTTAATGCTTTTAATTATTGTAGCCACCCTTTGATGGACCTGTGAACATCTCCATTTTATAGATGAGGAAACTGAGGCACAGACAGGGTAAATAACTTGCCAGAAGTCACCTAGCTAGTGAGCAGTAGAGCAGGATTCAACCCAGGCAGTCTGACTCACAAGTCTGAGTGCACAGCCACGATACATACTACTTCCTGGCAAGTGCTCACGGGAAACTTGGGATGCTCTGATGCAGTTCAGGGCCCTCATTTGATGGATGAGAAAACTGAGCTTACAGAGGAAATGTGGCTCTCCATGGTGTCAGAATCATAAATTCTCATACCAAAAGGAACCTTAGCAGCCATTGAGACTCGTGAACCCCTTTTTTTCCCTCTGCCCGGGGAGATGCTGCTCTTGCTAAGATTAGGGTCAAGGTGAAAAAAGCTGATTGTGAGAAGAGCACCCTAAAACATTTCAGGGGCATCCTTAGCTAGTGGCTGACAAGGTATACTATCCCTGGGGCTGAAAAGGGGGTGGTGCAGGGTAGAAGCCAGGGATGGCAGAAAGAACCTGTGGTCAGATAGAACGGAGTTCAAATCCTCCTGCTGCCACCACTTATTTTGTTTTGAGAAGGTCCTATAACCTCAGTTTCTCCTGTAAAATGAGGATAATATCTATTTCCTCATTTATATCTGTTTCCTTAATCATGGGATTAACGAACAATGCACCTTCATTATACATTGTATACCTGTATCAAAATATCTCACGTACCCAATAAATATATACACCTACTGCATAACCCCCAAAATTAAAAAACAATTCACCCTCAAAAGTGCCATTAAATAAATATTACATTTTTCCCTCTTCATGCCTTACCCTTGAAGCTACCAAGTCATGTGGAAACCTGAGACACCAAAGTGTCTAGACCCTCATGGAAAGTTCTGTCCCTCAGGCTGACTTACTGACTGATTTGAAAACAAATTTAAAAATCTTGATGTGTGGCCAGGTCATATTTAGTAATTACTATTTACTGAGCACATACTACATGCCAGGCACAATAGTAAGCACTTTTAAAAATACCCAGTATCTTATTTCATCCTTATAATAACATGTGAGGTAGGTTTTTTTTAATCTCGGTTCTACAGATGAGGAAACCAAAGCACAGAAAGGTTAAGAAAATTGCTTGTGGGCACTTGATTTAAACACAGATCTGACTTATTTCAAAACTTATATTAAGCGATACTGTCCTCAGAATCTTAGAGAGCATGACGTGTGTTTACTTTTCTTTAGCGTTGCCTCCCTTGTTGAAAATGAGCACCCTCGCTTTACCGAAGTCTTGCTGAATGCACAGATGCTTCTAGAGTTGACCTTACCAGAAAATTCTTACTCCTGATGTCCCAGAGGATTCATGCTTAATAAATTCCAGATCCCTGTGCCCTCAGGGATACTTTCCCCTCTGCCAAATTTGCAATTATTTCATAATTTGCTTTAACCACAAACATAAGCCCTGTTATCGACTGAGTAAACTGAATAGAGCTTTTTGGACTTTTATTATTTTCCCAAAATACGATGAACTTGAATCATCAGATGATGAACTTGTACTTGAAACTAGAGTGGCAGAGGGCAAAGTGAGTCACTCCAGTGAGTTTATGCCTATCAATCAATGCATCAAAATTGTGTCCTATTACCAGACACTGCTCTCAGCAGTCTACTTAGGCACCTTGGGGATAGAAGGGCAATACAAGAGCATTTCTTGACCTGAGGAGTTAAAAATCTTGTTTAGGTGGCAAATTAATATACATGAAGCAGATGTGCAGCAATATAGTAGGTATTTTATATATATTATATATGTATGTATGTATGTTTAGTCCTCCAACATTTTAACGAGCACCAACTATATGCTGGATACGGTGTCAGAAGCTGCAGGTACACAGTGATGCATATCTGCCTTCCAGGTGCTCACAGCTCATGGGGAGACAGACTTGACAACAAATAGTTACAGCTTGATGCAGCAAGGGCTAAAGTGGGGCAGGATGGCTCTGCCCAGGAGAGCTGGCAAGAGCTGATGGCTGAGGTAACTGTGGAGCTGGATGTTGAGTTGACCATTTTCTAGGCAAGGGAAGTGGACAGGCATTCCAGGCATAGAGAAAGTCATATGAAGAGGCTGTCAGTGCCAGGAAGGGGCTGTGCCCTACTCATCTCTGTCCTTATTTCCAGCTCTTTGCACAGTTCCAGGCACATGCCAGACCCACAGTGAATATGCGTTCATTCAGTGGATGAAAATACAGAATGGAGAGAACATGCAGTGTGTTTGGAGAACAGTGAGGCAATTGCTGAGCAGGAGTATTCATGAAAGAGAGGGGACGTTAGGGAAGCAAGTCGGGGAAGAACAGAGTGTGATAGGCTTTGAAGATGTAATAATCAGTTTGAACTCTATCCCCAGAGACAAAGGGAGGGGGTCACAGGGTCTGTCAGTGGCAGATGGACACAAGCAGATGTTTTTTGAGAAAACTGCTGGTAGAGGGCTGAGGGTGGGCTGGATGGGAGAGAAGATGCCCATGGAGGGCCATCAGGAGGCTGCAACACTGGTCAGGTGAGGCCATCGGAGGCTGGATGAACTGAGAAGATGGTGGTATGCCTACTCTCATATGTTGTTCACTCAAAATAAAAATTATTCACAAAACATAATGCTCTTATGCGTACTGAAATTAAAAGAGCCTTTTCCCCCTGGATCTTGTCATTGAAAAATTCAGGATTGCGTCATTAAAGCTGAGCTTCCCTCACTTTTGGGGGCCCTCCCCATTACAGGTACCCTAAGCAGGTACCTGGTCAGTCTTGGGAGTACAGCAGTGTTGCCTCACCTGAGGCAGGGCTGGTGAGGAAAACAGGAGGGGATGATTTGGGGAAACTTCCAGGCAGACATCTTTGGATTTTGGCAGCAGCTTCGTTGTTAGGGTAGATGGAGAGGGGAGGAATCCCCCTATCTCAGATGTTATATAGCATAGCATTGGGGTGGGAAGAAACTGATTGGGTATTATAGGGAGTAGAAGTGAGAAGAGACTAATAAGTGCATTTTGGGACAAAATGCTTAGCAATGGGATGTCAAAGAAGGGAATGGTCCCTAGCCATCAGCATGTTGGGGATATCAAAGTAATGCAAAGACTCAGGGGGGAGAGGAGAGAGAGGGAGGAAGGAGAGCCAGGGTGGGGCCTAAGGCGTAATGTAGGAGTCAATGTCAGTGTGGATTATTGGAAATTTACAGATAATTACCAAGTACCATGAAAATCTACGTCACTGGTTCACAGCTGTAATCTGTGCTTTCCCTCAGGCTTTGGATAACAATATTTGCCCCAGCTAGCTTTCTTATAAAGTGATTAATGAGGACCAGGAACTGTCCTTCAAGAACCAGGAAAAGCCAGTGATCCTCAGCCTGGCATAATTGAGAATTGACAAACTAGACACTTATTTAAATAAGTCTTTTTTCAGTGCTATGCCACTATTTTAAAAGATATTCACAAAGAGGTTACAACTTAAGGAATGCTGTAGAGATAATGTGA